CAGAAGATTAGAGAACGCGAAGTGGTCTACTTCTTGTGGGAAAATATAATTTGCAGGTTCGGAATACCAAAAGAGATAGCAAGCGACAATGGGCCACAGTTTATCAGTGCAAAAGTTACAAAGTTCCTCGAAGATTTGAGAATAAAGAGAATCACATCTTCGCCTTATCATCCCAGCGCAAATGGTCAAGCAGAGTCAACAAACAAAGTGATCATTCAAAACCTCAAGAAAGGTTGGAAGCGGCAAAAGGCAAATGGCCCGAAGAATTGCCCAGAGTTCTATGGCCTACCGAATAACGTCCAAATAGAGAACATGAGATATATTGATATATATAAGATGCCTCAACCCCATTTTAACTCATTATTTTTCAGTATCTTCAGACCCTAGACACCTAAAAACACCCTCTCAAGGTTCTCTCATGATCCAAGACCCAAACAAAGGGCAAACAACACAAATCAAGTGTCGGGAATCCCGTCGCGCTAGTAAGTTTCTTGTTCTTCTTGTTGTTGCTGATTTTTGGGTGGTTCCAGCTCATGTGGTAGGTTGTTTTAAGTGGTTTAAGTTCTGTAAAATAATCTCCCAAGGTTTTCATATCAACCCTAGGTTATTTCAAGTCTTGCAAATGGATTACACCCTATTTTAACATCAAAAGTTAGTTCTAGTAAAGAACACCTCTTTGAGGTTGTGTTGTCATTGAGGATAGTTGTGGGTTGTGTTTGGCTGAAATTTCAAGTTGTTTCTACTGGCTAAGATGAGTATAACAGACTACTAATTGTGCTTAAGCTTTCTTGTATGTTGGTTAAGTTGTTAGGATGATAAACTACAAGATAATACTTGGATTAGCTTAAGTCACTTCTATAGTGTTGTATTGCCATTGAGGGTTGTTGTAAGCTAAATATAACTTGGATTTCGACTTGAAGCTACTGTAGGAGGTATTTGTATTGTGTTATTTCATGTGCTTAAGGTTATCTTAATGTTGACTAAGTTAAATGGATGTACTAGACATGAACTAGTGAATACAATTGCTAATTGAAGATAGTTGGAGTTGTGGATTATTTCCTTTGTTATAAATATATGATATAAGGATGGAATCATTGATGAATGACTTCATTATAATGTTAATGATTCTGTTAAGTTAATGTAAGAAGACTATAAGGGGTGATAATGGGGTTGAAGGGTGCTGAAGGGATTCAATCCGAGCTTGTCGCTCGTCGTGATATGTTGACGACTTGTTAATGAAATATTTTGTACCCTATTGTTGATGTTGTTCTTATTGTATTGCTCTGGTTGTTATTGTTGGTATATGGTATTGGAGGAGGCCCTTGTTACAAGGGAGATGCTGCCCAAATTTACAAAAATGAGCTACTAGCTTAAGTTACAGACTTAGCCTTTATTCAGCACTGATTTTGAATCTCCTTATGCTATGGTAGATTGAGTTGAGTTATTTGAAGAGTTGCTTGGAAGCTATTAAGGACTCAACGAGGCTAAGGTATGTTAACGCTAAACCTTTCCTTCATTTTGGTNTTGGGCAACCTCTGATCAGATGGTATGTTATATACCGAGCCTACTGTGGTCGAGCGCCTATGAGCGAGCCCAGAATAGCCGAGATACAGAGCCTAGTATGGCCGAGCGCCTACGAGCGAGCCTACTACAGCATAGCAGTTACACATACCGAGCCTTATAGGACCGGACAGCTATTTTACTTATTATATTGAGAGAGTTGAGTCAGTATTTGCACCCGAAACAGGCCCGGAGATACCTGTTCGAGTAAGTGCTTCCTGAAGCAGCCGTGCATCAGCAGGATCAGCCAGAACGTCCTCCTCGGGGATAGCAACAGAGCCTGCAGGTAGACCTAATTCTGTGAACAAGTCAGAAGGGTTCAACCAAGTTCTTCATATACATAAATGGAAGCAAGGTAAATTAAAGTCACCATGATTTTTGGCCTTCCACCCGTATTTAATGGCTAATTCTTTCCACAAACAAGTTTCAAGCGTTGTGACGTCCAAGATCTTCTGAACCCACCAGTTCAAACCTTCCACCACCGGTGGGATCCATCGAGTTGCTGAAACATGTGAAGGGTGAAGATACGGCCATAGAAGAATATATAGTAAAAGGAATACTATACAAGGAACTTGCGAGTGCGGTTCCAAGCAACCGGAAAGGATGAAGCCGTTGTTGGAATGATGTCGTTGGTGGCAACGGTAACGAACCGTTCTATCCACCCATGGTCATTGTCATCATCCATGCTAGAAAACAAAGCATGGTGGCCACGCTTGCAAAGGTTTATCATTCCCCCGCGAAAGATTTTGGGGGAATAGAGATTCATCATATGAGCTAGAGTTAGCTTCTCTCCATTTTCTTGGCACAAACGTCGGAGGCAGGCGATCGTCCTCCACACTGAAGGACTTACCTGTGCCAAACACACCTGGTAGCGAAGGCAAAATTCCGCAATCACAGAATCAAGCTCTCTACTCAAAAAAAACGCACCCAAAGTAAAGGGATACGTGAAAAAGTATGTAAAACCTTCCTTGGGAAGGGTCACTCACTCCGCTAGATCAGGAGCAATAATTTCCAACTCATTGCAGCGGAAATCCTCCTTCACAGAAGGAATAATGGAAGGACGAATGGAAGAAGGGTACCTGCTAACAGCCCATGTACGAGGGTTAGCAGTAGGAAATTTCTCTTCAAAATCATTCGAAGTACTAAGCTTTCTTGGGATGATGGAACCCACTATTGGAGGAACGGAATCCTCGGTTTTGTTCTTGCTCTTCGTAGAACCAGCACGCTTAGAGGAAGAAGCCATTGGAAAAGAAGAAGGAAAAGATTTTGTGTTTGAAGAAAATTAGAAAAAGGGTGGAAAACAAGGATGCAAATCAGAAGCTCAAGCAATTGTGAAACGCAAAGGAAAAGAAAATTGTGTATAAGTAAAATTTTGGCGGCTAAATTCATGGACATGATTACCTCAATAACCGGTAAAAGTTGTGCTGAATCATGGGATGACGCGTGTTCGGGGCATTAAATGCGGAGAGACGTGTGTCTAATCAACCGTCAGAGACCTTCAAATGGAGTTATAGTAATTTCCGCCAAAAAGGTGTTTCTACCAACTTTACGGGGAAAGCAGGGGGACTATCTGTATAGGGTAAAATATTATATGACACGTGGCTAACTAAAAGGAGGACACGTGGAATCCAAGATGGGGCGGCTGAGGACCAAACGCATCCACTTTGCTTGTCACCAGAAAGGATAACGTTCATAAAAGTATATTAAATGCTCTGCGTCCGGTAGCATTTATTAAGGAATATTCTGCAGCATTAAGAGCGACGTGTCATTACAGAGAATTTGACATTTATGTTCACTGTTACATCTTCATTAATGACCCTCATAATTGGCATTAAAGGAGGGCACGATCCTAGGACCTTTTTCCCTAAGACGTAGCTATAAATAGTGAGCTCAGTTACCATTATAAAGGACATGATTTTCCTGGCTAAACTTACACTCTATTCTACACAAAGCCTTATACAATTTTACTTATTGCTTTTTAATTTCATCATCGCTGTGTCCGAAAATCGTATTCACGGAATCACCATCTTTGCTATTTCAACTATACTACAAGGCTAAATATTATATATTTCTTCGATTATTGTATTATTTCAGGATCAAATTAGTTCACTTGTCTAGAAAATACGTATAAATTTAACTGTACCGTTTTACGGGTAAACACTAATCTCTCAAAGCTGAAAGTTGACTCGATAACAACACAATCGCCTACAAAATTAACCAAGTTATTATCATTATCCCATTCACCACTATGAAGAATGTATACATGATAAATTTCCATTGCAAAAAAAGGTGAAATTGAAATTTTTGTATGTTTTCTTGCTTTATCTCGAACAATCTATGTATAAAGTCGACTTCTTTGCTAATATCTCCTCTAAATCACGAACTTTTAGATTTTTCTTTCCTTGTTGATTTCTCCGCCAAATCAGGAACTTAGTGCAAATTATGCTATTTGGAACTTAGAGAAGAGATCGTTGGTTTTTCAACTTGCATTGCAGCTTTTTGTGTTTTTTTAGCTAGAATAGGAACGTATAAACTTGGGAAGAAGAAGAATGGAAAATCACGAAAATTTTGCACCTGAAGATCCAAAATAAAAAAAAAGGCATTAATGCTCGTTTTTTCCTGATCTGGCCTACTGATTTTGGGCTACAAATTTGCAAACTTGTAAATGATCCATTTGGTTGCAATGTCAGCTGGTAGGTTGTATTATTATGCAATTCTCTCTTTTATTCACCTTTTGCCTACTAAATATGTGTAAGGGGGTCTAACTAACCTTCTTGAAAGTATTTTTTTTTGTTAAAATAAAAAAAAATACTCTTTTATATCATGAAAAAAAAAATTATTTGTTGAAATGAAAANTGAGGAAAATATTTTCCAAAACATTTAAGCCAACCAAACATGGAAAAATTAAAAAATATTTTCCGAAAAATATTTTCCATTAATACCAAACACACCCTTTTTATCTTCAAATGTTAAGGTATGTAACTAGTTGCTAAAATATAAGCAACTAATTAAGGTATGTAAGAGAGAATTAGAGAAGCTGAGTCAAGAATAGAAAATCTTGCAAATACGAGTACCAAAATGGACATTAAGCCAAACTAAAAATTGATAGTATGATTTTGGAGTTACCATTCTACACTACAAAGGTACGCCATAAAAATATTTTATGCAAATTCATTCTTGTCCACTAACTTGCATACGTACCTTTCCTATCAAAATAAGATTTAAAAGTGACATTGAGAAACAAGTATTCCTAATCTTTCCCCTCACAAAGTCACAATCTCGCAGTTAAGTTTTACAAAGAAGTAAATCGATAAGGATCATGTAAGAACATGATGCAATAAGAAATAAAACATCCATATAATCAGATATAGGTTTCTGACCTTGTCCAAGTCAGTTTTATCAAGTAAAGGATGAAAATTATAATCATTTTCGGAGAAGTATATTTAAATTACTCTGAAATAACATATATTACTAATATTGCTCATACCAAACATAAACAATACATGCAAAATTAGTTCTCTAAAAATCCAATAAAGAAGTTTATGCCCAATTGAACCAAGTTCTTTCGACTGCTGCAAGTCAATTCCAACATGTGATTATCAAAATTGCATAAAAACTAGCTACAATAAAGATATGATCACTTTAAGCGAAGCTTGAGCTAGGGGGTGCACCACCGAAACCTCCTGCCCCACGCCCGAATCCAGGTCTTCCACCACCACCCTACAGGTATAGAATGATAGGTTAGATTGAATTTATTTTTGTACCAAGGCAGACAGCATAAGCAATCATGAGTAATAGAACAAAATCCAAATTTTAGTCCTAAGCCTAACAAAGGAAAGATAGAACTAAGTGACCCAAAAAAAGAAAGGTAGCATTATGAAGCTTTCGTGAGTACTAATAATACATGGTTTACATTACCAAACAGCCAAAAGGATTTGTTATCTACTATTAAACGGAAACGGGCTAAAAATACCCCTAACGTATTAAAAATGGCTCAGAATATCTTTTGTTAACCTTTGGGACCAGAAATACCCTTCATGTTTGTTTTCCAACTCAAATCTACCCGAGATTAATGGACCAACCTGGGTCATTTTTTGGACTGAAAATAGACATGTGGTACGCCATTAGGATGCCACGTGTATAAATCAAGAAACAAATAAAACCCACCACGTTTCTTAGAAATTACCCAAAGACCCGCTGACCCAAAAACCCACCCGTCTCTTCTTCAACATTTATCATGATATTGGGCGGTAAGCACTTCAGGAGTCGAAACATATAAAACTGAACATTCCGAAATTTCTTCAACTCTTTTACTGCCATGGTTTTGAATCATTCTTGCATTATTTTAAATATGAATAGTTAAATTTCAAAATTAAAGAGGAGTCATTATTTAGTCTAGATAGGTTTTTCTTTGGTGATCGTACTCCTACTTCTTCATTTCTATTTTTCTTCGTGTTTTTTTTATATGTGCAGCTAATGGACTCCCATTTCTAGCAATTGCAATTTTCCTGGTAGTTTGATTGGTCTTTTTTTGATTAACTTGTGATTTGCAGGGAATTGGATGATTAACTGTAACATTATCTTTATGATTAATTCGAGACAAGGGGAATAAATGATGAACTTTGTGTATCTTACATCAATACAGGACAAAGAAAGATTGTGTTTATTGGTTGGATGGAAAAAACCAAATCGTTCATGGAGAGGAAAGAGACAGAGAGACCGGTTTTTGGGTCAGCAGGTCATTGGGTAATTTTTAAGAAAATGGGTGGGTTTTATATACATGTGGCATGCTTATAACATGCCGTGTATCCTTGTTTTAAAGGTCCAACTTGGTCCATTAATCTCAGGGGCAGATTTGAGCCAAAAAAACAAACGTGAAGGGTATTTTTGGTGCCAAAGGTTAACGAAGGGCATTTTTGAGCTATTTTCAATACGTAAAGGGCATTTTTGACCCTTTTCCAACTATTAAAATTACCACAAACTCTTAGATAATCAGCTATACTATGGACTCTAAAGGCGTTACTTGACTAAAGGAGTGCTTAGTATGGGGCATCTTCCACTAAAACTTATCATGCAGTACATGAGCATAAACAGTCAATACTGCAGAATGCAATGTATGAATTGGGAATACAGAATCTCAGAGGACAGCTATGAGGTGAAGTGTAGAAGAAGCTTAAAAAGTCAAGTCAAATGAGGAACAATAACTAAAAACGATGCAATAAGCTTGGGATCATTTTTACTCAATAGTATCAGTGCAATAATGTGAGACGCAATAGGTGAACAATCAAATGCATTAGGTGAACCAACAAAAACAAAGATTGATCACAAGAATTTCATGGAACAGAAAATTGTCACAGTCTAGAGGTGAGAGTATCCTTTCCCCCTTACTATTAATGCTATATGATCTACTCAAATAAGAAGTGAAGATGGCGCTAGAAATGTGAAAGAACCACCTGCCAAAAGTGGAACTTCAAGTGTAAGCACTAGAGCAGTGCAGACAAAGTGTCATTAACCATAGCAATGCAGATAAAACACAGAAATAGTGTTGCTAGTTCCAAATAGATCTATCAAACACACTTCAATTGAACAAAAAGATATGAAAAATGACAGGGTATAGGGAGAACAGTAATTACCCTGAATGCAGGCTGGTAGTCAGCTGGAGCTCCACCCTTGTCGCCTCCAAACTCACCGGGGGGGCNATATACAAATTACCGGGGACGGTCGCCAGGAGGGCCACCCATGGGACGACCAAGAGGCTTAGCAGACTTCTTGAGAGTAGCAGGGACAATTTCGGAAGGAAGATTGAGGTAAGTCCTGAGGAACTCAATGCCGTCATTGGTCAGATACCAATAGTAGTGCATCCAAGCAAAGGTCTCACGCACGTATTCCTTCGACTTGAAACTCTGCATCAATTTTATCACCTGTAGGTTTGGCGCATCGATATTCGGATGCTTTGCCAAGTTGTAGTCCTTCTTTGCAAAGCATACTCCCTCTAATAGAATATAATTTCCATAATTACATACATTTATACACAGACGAACAATAAGAAAAGAAAAATTACAGATACTAACCTTGGAAGAGGTACTTGGAGATCTCTCTTCGGTTCTTCTCTGGGATAATCTGAAAACGCAAAATCGATTAAAAAGGACTGAGAAAAATGTATTATAATAGATGTTTGGAAGGAGAAGGATGATACCATAGCTGCTCGAAGAAAATTGAGGGGAGGTAGGAAATCAACCAAAATGCAGCAGCAAAGGGACGGACTATCTGTGAACCCTAGAAAGCGCACGTCTTATATCTGACATCTCTGTCACATGGGCTTTTACTGCTTGGAAAGTGAAGTCTCAAGCCCGAATAGCCCTTTTTGGCCCAATAATACCACAACAATTGTCAATCCACTACCCACTACCTCAAAAACATCGAAAGATTTTGGGAAAATTACCGGAACAGCCCAAAATAGTCATTTTAATCATTTAATTTTTGCCACAAAAGTTATCAATCTATCAATCACTATATAATATATATATATATATACTATTATAATAGCACGAATATTTTACGCTAAATATTAAACGACAAAAATATCCTTAATATGTTAATCGACTTTTATACCCTTAAATATTTTGTCAAAAAGATAGTTCCATGTTGGATAAAACAGTACTATCTAATTAATTTGCCTAATATTTAGGAATCCGATACCAACTAATGATAGAATTTCTTAAAAATTAATAAGTGAATGTAAAGTTCTAATTTCATACTAATTCTACTTGACAATTACACGGAACAATACTACAATAGTAGAATCCCATGTGCTCTTAGAGTTCCAAACCCATACCAATCCCACATATGAAACATATATTGCCTCTATATAAGCAATTTCATTGTATTCACGCTTGCAACACAAAACATGTATACAGGGATCTTTTTAGAGGTAATTTTCATCTCTTTTATTATTATATTTTATAGATTAGATTTGGCTCTCTAACACAGCCAAAAAAAGTTACTAATAATTAAGAAGTTGAATCTTTAATTTACGCATGTAGGCTGATAATTCGTCCACATCTTTATGGGTTAAGTAAGTTTTTTGTTTGTTTGTTGGAAGGGATGTTGATGTAAAGTTTGAATTAAACGACACTCAAAATAGTGAGAATACGGTCTCCACAATTCCCATCCAAAGGAACTATATTATAATATTTTGCTCAACATGGCTATAACTAGCGTTCAAGGGTGTGACTGAATTATAAGTAAGTGGGACGATAATATTCGTTCTCTTATCTTTTAACTTGATAGTATGTTCATGAGTTATTTCATCTTCCTTATATGCGAGGTAGTTCATAAACTAATTTCTTTTATTTTTGTAACAGGGGGAGACTTAAAGAGGAAGATGTAAATATATTAATTAATAGAGAAGATTTAATTTGTGGCATCATCCGAAGAGAATGGCTGAGGAAGTTAGAAGGAATAATGAATCAACTAACTATGTGTTTTTAAACAACAAAGTAATGCACTCTTATTGTACTTTAAAGAATTTTGAGTTTTGTTGTCCTAGATAACAGCCATATAATTTAGAAAGTTTTTCATAAATAATTGACTTAAGAATCTTGTGGAACGCATGAACGTAGAAACTAGTACTATATTAAAAGCATGAAGGCCCTTAGCGAAATGTTGTTCGCATTTTTTATTCTTTAAAAACAGATTTCATATTGGATAGAATTATTATTTAAGTTATTTTCCTAATATTTAGAATTTTAAAACCAATTAAAATTTGACTTATTAAATATTTTTCTATTTAAACTATATATATAATCCGAATATTTAGGACACTTAAATCAGTTAAAAAGTTACCTTATATAGATCGAAAAATTATAACCAAAATTGTTCACACGGTGAAAGAAAACTTTATCAGAGGACCAATTATCTTCAAGGAGGTCCATGTTATTATTAGTTTAACTTTTAATTCTAACTAAATATTTGTAGTCTTACACAACTTTTCTTAAATATCTTTTAGACAGTTGAATGAGGCTGAAACCAAATTTAAATGTAGTATGTTCTATACTATGTGCACACATTGCTACGAAGAAATTGGGAATGCCGTTTTTAGTTTTTAATTTTGGCTGTTTAATTATGACCACGCTTACAAACAAGACAAAATAAAAATTATTGATTATATAAAATTAGAAAAGTATACAAGAAAATTATTTTAGTAACAATCTTCTCATGAATATATTAGAAAACATTTATAATTTTCTTTTTTAATCAAATTAGACTAACTTTTAACACTTCCCAATTAAAATATAAAAACGTATTATACACACAAAAGAAAACTAACACACTAAATCCGTGAAAATTTATTGAAATAATAAACTCTATTTTTTATTTTTACATCAATTTTATACTTTTACTCCTTTAGGATAGTATTAACGTCTTATGTCAGTTAGATGACGTCCTGTTTATGTCTTTTTAGAATGAAAATAAGAATATATAGCTTTAAAAAAGACAATCTAAATCTTCAAAGTTATATGATCTTGTTGAAACTAAAGAGGATGCATGGCTTATAAAATTATAGTAATAAAATTATAAAACTGAAATGATTTTATGTTAAATATATTGACTGAGATGATTGGGAACACTTGTGGGACAAAATTTCTTCTTTTGTTGAGTTAGCAAAATAGAATCAAAACTCATCAATTTCAGGAACTTAGAATTTTTTCTTTGACATATTTTATTATTCAAGCACAAATTTAATATAATTTTTAAAAATTTGTACCCACTGAGATAAAATACACGTGCAACGCGCGTATCGTGAGACTAGTAATATATAATAGGCAAAACGGCCTTGTGGCCACTTAAACTTGTACCGAATTGCTAATCCGGTAAACAAACTTATAAGTTTTCTAATTTAGCACATCTACTTTATAGAATGAGGAATACTTAATGCCTCTGACCGTTGACTATACATATGTGGAAGAAACATTGTTGACCTAGCTAAACTACGTGCAAATCACACCTAAATGGCGCGTCAATGTAATAGTTTTAATAGAAAAATATTAAAATAAACAAAAATATATAAATAATAACAAAAGATAGGAAAGAAAAGAAAAAAAGAAAGCTTAGATCCCAACACTTCCTCCCACCTCCTTCATTCCCACCCCTTTCCCCCGTTCTTTTCTTTTTTTATCCCATCCCTCACCCCAACCTTTCCTCCCCAGGCCTCTTCATTCTTTTTGTTATTAACCTGTAGTTCAAAAGGAATAAGAGCTTTTTTTTATTATTATTTGAGTATAAAGATTTAGAAAAGATGAAGGTAACCCACAACTCGATTTTGGACAGAAGAAAATTGCATCTCCGATCTGGTCATTACTCCGATGATGATGGATGATTTTGTGATGAAGTTATGGGGAAAAATGCTCTCTTATTCATATTTAAGTGTTTGGAGTATTTTTTTTTGGAGTATATTTTTTATCAACGAAGGGGGTGACTGTGGTTTATGGTTAAGGTCATTATTACAAGTTTTCGACCTGGTCAATGCTCATCTCTTTTCCTTTTTTTAGAAAAAAATAGCAGCAGGGGTGAAATGTCCTTTCTGATCTGTTATGTCTGTGCCAGTGGGTTTGATGGGAAGGAAGTTTCGACGGAGCTAGTGATTGAAGTGGTTGAAATCAAATAGACTAAGATGTTTGGGCAGAGATGGTGGCTAAATATTGACAAAATGAGTAAGCAACACGGAGAGCGAACTATTCGTCGCCGACAAGAGACATTACAAGGGAGTTCTTCCACCAACTTGAGTTTATTGCTGATTTATGAGTTTCTTGCAGGTCTCAATTGTGGTGGAGAAGAAAAGAAAAAAAAAGTTAAAAATTTGACAAATTGAAATTAAAAAGGTGAGACCTACAAATTATACATGTCAAACTATGGAAGGTTAAGCATATGACGTGTCATTTGTATCATAGCAATTGAGGAACACGCTCAGACCTATGTGTTTACTACTCCTCGTTCTGTGAAGTAGATGTGCTAAATTGGAAAACTTATAAGTTCGTTTATCGGGTTAGCAATCTGGTGCAAGTTTAAGTGGCCAGGAGACCGTTTTGCCTATATAATATTCATAAAATTTAGGAAAATTAAGGATTTTTTGAATGAGTATAGTTGGAATTCATTGAAAACATATAAACAAGATAATATACAAAATTTGAGGAAGATTGGAGGTGATTTATATTAGTTTGGAGTCAAAATTCAGAGTTGAAATCGAGTTGAAATTTGTTTTGTTCTACACATGTATTTCGCATGTATCTCACACACAAATATATATGGATATACAATGGATATATATATATATAGGAATACACGTTATACACGGGAAATACACATGGGATACATGTCACGATCCAAATTCACATAATAGGCACCCAGCACACTACCCAACCGGAGCGAACCAACCCATATGTTAAAACCAAATATAATTGCGGAAGCCAATTAAAAATCATGTATATTTTCAAATCAAGTCATAGATTATTTTTCATATCCAAAATCATATATGAAATATTTTATAAAAATAATATAGTCAAATTAAATAATTATTCCTTTATGCATAACGACCATAATCCTATTTTTACAATCCAACAAAATTATCTATGGAACCTCTACACGAAAGAATAGAACCAATACTTGGAATAATTCCAATAAAAAAAAATATGATAGCTACCACGAGATAAAAGTGATATTTTACCATACCTCGGGAAGAGAGTCATCCTAGCCATGTTACATCACGTGTCATACCTCATCCCGAAACACATAAAGTAAGCAGGACCCCTGATAGGGGCCTCTAAGGACTGAGTACACACCACGGTACTCAATAAGCATCATATGCTCTCTCTAACTCAAGTTTCTGGGACAAGGCTTTACAAAAATAATACAACTAATATTTGATATAAAACGATAACAATTATGTCAATTCATGCTCTTTATCAATTTGAATAAAAAGACGAGTGAAATGCAAACCATGATATAAGCTTTTAAATATTTATATTATACCATGACTTTAATAAAAATCATATAAAACCATTTCAATTGCATTAAGTCATTAAAATCACTTTCGGCTCCTTAGGCCTAAACATAAGAAAATCATTCTTTACCTTTCACTGGGAGTACTATACCATCACCAACGCAAGAAAGTCAACTAGGTTATGTACCTAGCGGCATGTGTCATATATCCTATTTGCTCAGGTCATCTCATTGTAGTATTGTACGAATCGACTCAGCCATGCTAATAATAGCACAAAATAGTACCCCCTCAAAGGTGTAACGATCCGAC